CACCTTGGGGTGTGACCTTACTTGGAAAAGTGATCATTACAGATGCAATTTTTGGGTGATGATAAGGTCACACTGAGGCGGGGTGGGCCCTCATCAAATATGGAGAAGAGGGAGACAGTACAGAGGAGAATCACACAGCAGGGCAGACACACAGAGCAGGCTGGGGTGACAAGGCAGAGATGGGTGACTGAGCCACCAGGACCTGGAGGAGGCAGGAAGGGCCAGGGCTTTCATGGGTGTGCAGTCCTGCCAACGCTCGCCTGGACTCTAGACTTCCAGCCTCCAGAACAAGGGAACAGGTTTCTATTGTTCCTGGCCACCCACTGTGTGGTGCTTTGTTACGCAGCCCTAGCAAACAAATGCAGAGAGAGTGTGAACAGCTGGTTATGCTGCCTGTGGATGGAAGAGGGGCTGGGGGGAAGTGGCCTTCATGTGATTCTTCTTCAACTGCCGTTGTCACTTTAGGATCTTGTCCCTTCCTTTTGTGCCTGATGTCCCTGGGCCTGGACTTCCCCTGGTTTAATTGGTCTTGAAATTATTGAGGTACAGATAGCGTTCTGTGCTCTTCTCACTCAGACCTCCAGTTAATCTGTGAGCTTTCAGCCTCAGTACCCTCTTGAAAAATAACCACAGCCTCCCATTCCTGAGCAGTCTCCTTGGTATCTCTACAGATAAAATGTCTAGTTCTCAAGTCCCTCAGCTGGAGGTCACGGCTTCCTGGACTCCTCAGCAGAACTCTCCCGACGGAAGTGATGGCGCCCTCTTCTGGCCACTGAGCATGGTTGTCCTTTCCCCAGGCCTCTCCTGGAACTTCCACAGCCTGGAGGGAGGCTCCATGTCCGTTGATCTTGGCGTCCCGTCCACACCCTGCACAGCTCCGCTCGACACAATGGCCCCTCAGTGCGCATTTCTTGGATGAATGAAGAAATGGAGAGGACTTTCAAGCTAAAATGAGTGGGCTTCTGACTTCGTGCTTGAAGAAAACCAATCCTATGGCTGAGATGATTAAAAAAGAACCGATCCACCCATTCTTTCTAAATGGAAATTTACATTTCAAACTGAAGATAAAAGTCAAACGGGAACTTTGATGTAGTCTTATAATTATAAAACCAAACATCTACTTGCTCAAATTGTTGAATTCTAATCAGCTGCAAAAAGTTCTTGGCTCTACTCACGTTTGGGTTAGACATCCTTAAAATCAATCAGCTGAGCATGGTTTATAGTTCAGGAAATTCTAGGACGAGTGCTGTATTTTTAAGTGGGCAATTTTACACCGATTTTCCTAGAGCCAGCTCAATGCTGACATATTACTTTTACTTCATACAATCTTCTCCTTCACCCCTTATTAGGGGTAACATGTCCCCCCAAAGCCACAAACTCAAGATAAATATAGAATTCCTCACTAGACTTTCATTTGCAAATTTAGGATGTATATATTATGAGGAGCATGCGTGAAGTCAAAGATTCCCTTGGAACTCCCAGTCCCCCCACCTCCCACTCCATGGGGTTTTGGTGAATATTATTGGATGGCAGGTTTACCTTTCAGGTATTCATGGGCCCCAGTGATGAGGACTTCACCTCCTGTCTTCTTTGATTATCAAAATGCCCTTAAGGAAAGTCAAGGAAAATTGGGACAGGGAATATTCTTGCTATAGCAGAAGAAATAAGAAAATCAGAGAAATAAGAAAAACAAGAGAATTACAGTGGGAATTTGTGTGGCATCTGACTGACCCACCAGCCCGAGACTTCTTCCAAGATGTGTCTGCTTTGAACAGGTCTCCTTAGTGCACCAGGCAGGATTCCTGTGGGTGATAAGTGTTGGAAAAGCTCAAATCAGCGTAGGAAATGAGTGACTTTTGGCCCATGAAACTGAAGGCAGACTGAGATGGGTGGGGTAGGACCACATTCTGGGGCGGGCTTGGTCACAAGGAGGTCCGGAGTCAGGGAGCCAATAGCATTTCCTCTTCATCTCTTTCCACCTTGAGTGATCTGGCTGACTTCCTCCAAAGGGCAGCACACACAGCAGAGCCCAGGTCACACTGGAGAGGCCAAGGATGCTCTAGGTGCAAGGAGGAAACCCCAGGGAGTGCTCCTCACCTGCTGTGCCTGTCCCTGGGTCACAAAGGGGAGGTGCTGCGGGAAGATGGTATCTCTCTGTGACCCCCTGATGAAAGTAGGCGAAAGGTGTTCCCCAAAGTAGGGGCAGAGCTGTCCCAGGCATGTGACCCAGCAGATGCATGGAGCGAGCACACGGTGGCCTCCTTCGCCTGTGTGCAGCACGGCTCGGAGTGGGACATGGTTGTGCTCAGATATTGCTGCATGCAGAGTTATTTGTGCAGCAGAAAAGGGTCGTGGAGATTTGCATCACAAGGTGCTGAGGGGGAAGGAGGGAGCTGGTCCACCTGCACCCTCTGTCCTTTTCCCTGAGGCCTGGGTGGGGCCAAACCCAGAAGTGCGCACCTGGAGCAGGGGAGGAAGGAGAGGTCAGGAAGGAGGTCGAGGCAGACACCGGGAGGGAGCGCAGTCTGCATCCCAGGGGAGGGGCCGGTGCTGGGTTACTCTGGACATCATTGAGCCGCTAGCTCATTCTGTGGGTGGTGGAGCAAGCAGCTCGCCCTGGGGCCTCCTTCCCAGACAGGGATTAACTTTCTACTCTGCCCCTCTGGAGGCTTAAAACTCACTCAGGGATGGCTCGAGAAGCCGCAGCTGCCCCCTGGCTGCTGGGTCAGTGGAAACCTCCGTCCTCCTTAGGGTGGGCCTACAATCTTGCTTTTCTTGAAAGAGCAGAACTGGCTCTTCACTGTGAGCTGACTTTGGAATCTCACACACTCCTTTTCAGTAGACAAACCCCACCCTGGCAACACCAAGCAGATCTGCTAATGTAACAGCCCATAGAACTCCTCAGGGAGCGGGGGAGTTTGCTTCTTTAAATTTTGTTCCGAATAGTTTATCACCCTTGCTATTGAAATGAGAGTGATTTCTCATACCAAGCAATTAGCTGTTTTGAAAACAAAGTTGTATTTGTCTTGAAAGAAGGAACCCCGGGTGGGAGTGTGTGTGTCTCCACGGTTCAGGCAGCCTCAGAGAGCCCCACTTCGGGGACAGGAGGTTGACTTTCCTGCCGGCGGGTGGGCAGCAGGCAGTGCGCCCTCCTGGGGCAGTGGCCACACTCCTGCTGCTCCCTGTGGAGGGAGGACTCAGGGGGAGCAGGAGCCATAGGGAGCACCGTCCTCCAACATGTCAGGCGGGTGGTGTGGCCCCTGGAGGTGATGCAGAGAAACCCCACCATCCTGTCTCTGTCCCCCCCACCCAGGAAACCTGCAGACAAACCCCTGGGGAGCAGGACAGGGATCCCTGGAGAAGTGGGGTGCGGGCAGTCTCTCTCCAGGGTGCTGTCTCTTTCCTCCCTAATCTGGAGGGAAATAACTCATGGGAGGAGCTAGTGATTTCTTGACTCTTCAAATTTGGCTTTTGAAGGATCTGGAAGTCAAAAATATCCTGCAGATGTCTTGAGGCTTTTTTGCATTAGCTGAGTTTTTCGTGTGCCGCGTGGTGGCAGAGTGAGAAGTTTGTGGTGGCCAAGGCAGGGCTGTGACTGGATCCCTGCCACAGCCCGGGGGGACACGGTGGCTCTTGTCCTCTCTGAGCATGGCTTTTCTCCTCTATAAAACGAGGCTGGAGTCTCCCCTAGCAGTAAAGGAACAGATCTCTGTAAAAGGGTGTTGGGTGAGAATGTTTGTGGTAAAAGACAGGTAAGTATTAAAGAGCTTTGGAAGAGAGATGCTAGGTAGAAATTAAAGTTCTTACTTAAGTGTTTTCTCTATTTCATTTTGCACTTGAAGAGCAAGATGTGCTGGTGAAGCTGTCGGGGGAAAGGAAGCCCTCTACACTGTTGGTAGGAATCTAAGCTAGTATAACCACTAAGGAAATCCATGTGGAGAGTCTTCAAAAACTAACACCAGACAGTACATTCTGTCCAGCTATTCCTCTCCAGGGTATCCTCCTGAAAGATTAAAGACGTCATACTACAATGTTATACGCATACCCATGTTTATAGCAGCACAATCCACAATAGCTAAGCACTGGAAACTGCCTAGTTGCCCATTGACAGATGAATGGCTAAAGAAAATGTGATCTAACACAGTGGAATATTACTCAACCATAAAGAAGAATGAATTCGGGTCATTTACAAGAAAAACGGATGAATCTTGAGCCTATAATATTAAGTCAGACACGGAAGGTTAAATATTGCACGGTTTCTTCTATAAGTGAATTAAAGAGAAAAAGGTCGGGGGAGATAAAGGTCTGGAAATGATCAAGATATGATGTATATGTGCACCAATTTCCCCAAATGAATGTAACTATTGTGTGTGGCAAACATACACCAATAAAAAAAGAGTTTTCTTGAAACTCTGAGCCAGATGACCACCCTTATTTCCTTAGTGTGTGTCCCGGAATGAGACCAAGCCTCATGATCAGAACCATTATATATAGAACTTTAAAAAAAATGCAGTTTCCTTTTACTGCCTTTTCACAAGGCTTTGCTTAGCTGAGGCGATTTTAATTGCTGGTTTTTATATCTGAAAGGGGAGATTATTAGGAGAAGCCTCAATTCAGAAACTTTAAGAAGAAACAGGCGGGTGTGGCGTGGGTGGGGGTGCTACATTTCCTGTTCGCCTTTTCAGATGGTGTCTGCAAACACTGCAGGAAAACCATGGATACCCACGAAGAAATCCCAAAATTCATTCTCTTTGCTGCCAGCGGCCCTGCCTAAGAGGTGACGGGTAGAAGCGGTGGAATTTTTTTTAAGAGCTGGAGTTCCAAGGAGTCCAGCTAAACACTTGTAGGGTGAAGACAGCCTTCGGGGTGACATCAGCTTGCGACAGAGCCAGAAGCAACAGAGCCGGGGTCTGGTTTTCATTTACAGTGGGGGGGGGCTGGAGGAAGGGAGGGGGAGGAGGAGCCAGAGGAAGCCCTGACTGTACCCCTGGACTCCAGCCAGCTGGGGCTCAGCCTCACCGAGGCCGCTCAGCGCTCCGGCTCAGTCTGAGCGGCTGCAGGAGAAGCCCGCCTGTTCTGTCCTGGAGAGTCCAGACCCTCTCCCGAGGCGGGCAGGGCTGCAGGGAGGTGGGGAGACGCAGCGAGAGGGAAAATGTGCCTTCTGGTCACACATAACTGAATCAGAAGCCAGGGACACACGTACGTCTTCAGGTCTGCTCAGGGTAAGAGCCGTTTTTCTCTCCCCGTGGCAAGAGGGAAACACTTGAAGCCAGTCGTGGCTGCTTCTAGGTGGCTTAGTGGCTTTTATTGCCACCCCGTTTGTCAGTTTTTTGTACGCGTTTTAGCTTTCTGGAGAAGTCCGCTGATGTTTCTTTCTCACGGGCTGCCCAAGAGTAAAGCGGGATTTCGGGCTTCGGCCGCATCCCGGCTGCCCTGTGTGTTCCGACTGCCGTGTTGGGGCTCCTGGCTTACTGGAAGCTGCCCCTCCTCCTGCCCCAAGCCAGCTGGAATGTGTTTGGTTTGCAGAAGTGTCTGGGGGGGGGGGTCACGGAGCTATCTGTCAGGGATTTTCTTGGGCTGTCTCTGGGTGACACTGCCCAGGCTGCACCCAGAGATGTCCTGTTCGGGCCTTTGTGGGAGGGGGTTGTGGGGCACATCTGTTGCCTTTGGGAATTTGGGGTTCTGGTGCTGAGGCTCAGCCGGGACCACCAGGGCTTTGTCTTTTCAGGAATCTGAAGTCACCCTGGAGGCTTTGTCCTTGGGGGTTGCATAAGGAGCAGCACGGGCAGAAGAGAAGGAACGTGATGGCCGAGGGGGCAAGGCCGGGCTCCGTTGCAGGCTGGCCCGGATCCTTGGGCTGAGGCCGCTGCCAAGCCGGGAGGCCCCTGGGCTATTCCTTGGCAGGGAGGGCCCAGGGTGGGGCTCTGGTCCTCCGTCCCCGGGGATGGAAACCATTCGCTGAGGGCTGCCGGCCTGTTTGGGGGACCATTTCAAGCTACAGTGTCAGAAAACTGGAGACACTGAGGCTGGGGCGGGGTCCCGGGAGGGCCCTGCAGTGTTGGGACAGACCGAAGGAAACTCAAAGTTTCACAGTGAGTTCAGGGACGGGAGTGAGGATGGTCTGGACCTCCAGAGCAAGCTGCATGGGTCGAGGGAGCCCTGCGTCCTCAGTAAGGCAGGGCGCAGACCCATGCCACCCATGGCTGACCCAATAGGAACCTTGGGGCTCAGATCCTTGGGATGCTCAGGGGATAGGTGGGTGGTCCTAGAGCCTGAAAAGCTGAGCAGAAACGGCTTTGAAATCAAAATCATATTGCTCTTGACCAAAACACTAGTGCAGACCAGTTGGCTGGTTACCGGGACCCCTGAGCTCTGTGCTGCTGGGTGACAGATCTTAGAAGAGGATCTCAGCTGGAAGCCCTGGATGTAGCCACTCTTTGGTTTTAAGGATGAGGATTCAAGGCTTTGAGAGGCTGAATGCTCGAGGGGCCACAGAGCCAGTGGGCTAGCTAGTAGCAGCATCCTGGACACTCCTGGGAGAAATGGGGCCATATGCAGAAACGGAGGACCCCAGGCTCAGTGGCACCTGGGTTTGGAAGGTGCCACCTGGGTTGTCTCCTGGAAGAGAACTTCTTCCTCACATTCTGTTAACACTGACAGGAAAGTCACTTTTAACTCCCTAGGGACCTGTGGACTAATGAGAGAGAAGTGAAGTGAGGAAGCAGAAGCATGAGCTCAGTGGCCAAAGCCCTGAGTGGGTGTCCCTCGGTCAGGCCACCTGGAGGGCACGGGGGCATCTTTCTGAATCAGAATCCCCTTTGCCTTTTGCTTTATCCCCCTGCATCTCCCTGACTTGTGGTGAGTGGCTTTTGTGGTTCTGTCGGTCAGGACTGATGTGAAGGAGGAGGAGGAGGAAACCCATGTAGCTCCCCAGCTGTGATATGGGGCATGTGTTTCCGGGGGTCTCTGCACCCAGACCTTCGCTTGTGTGGAGGCTGTACAGCCGAAGCTCTCAGCTGCTTGGGTGGGACCTCTGTCCTGCCTGCAGGGGCAGGGGGCTTTCCTGGGACTCCTTTTCTCTGCTTCTGAGTTCGAGTGACTCAGACGGAGTGGGGCTTCATTCACTGTATCCAGGGGTGTCTGTCACCACTCACTTTTTTTTTCGGTACCAGGGATTGAACTTGGGACCTTGTGCTTGCAAGGCAGGCAGCGGGACCACTGAGCTAAATCCCTGGCTACCACTCACTTTTATGTGCAGTTCCTGATCAGGGTTTAAAATTCACCAGCAGGCCATGACTCCTGCTGCATGAGACTTTCTTGCAGGCGTGCCAGCAACTTTAAGCAAAAATTTTTATTTGAAAACCAGTTGTTATCGCTTCTTTGTGGAAGGAGCTGAGAATTTGGAGTCCCCCAGGGAGGGTGGCGGGCAGTATCCCATCTCAATGGGACACTGTGTACCAGGCGGCTTTTCCACAGTGGCCTACGGGAGCAAACTTTGCACGCCGTCCTGGCTGTGGCAGGCAGGCCATAAAAGCACACCACTGCTGCAGAAATAGCTGACGAGTTGCCTGAGCTGACATTTAGAAATCCTACTGGTAGCTCCAGCTAAGGAAATCAAAGCCTCAAGTGAGTGGAATTTTGAAGCCAGGGAGGTTTCAATGGTTCCTGCTAATTTAGAGAGCCGCAAACGAGGAGAGGAAATGTCTCTCCATTTCCTGGTTTCTAGATAAAGTTTCTCGGTTTCCACTGCAAAAGCTCTGTGACACAGCGCTGCTGTTTAAATCAGACATGGCTTGTTCCCCTGCACCCTGGTAAAGAATGTCTCACATTGTTTGGACACCCGCAGGTCTGGTTTTCCAAAGAGGAATTTTCTTTAGGAATTATGTTAATTTTCAAAAACGTAATTTCCAACACATTCTGGTCTAGCAGGGCTATTTCAGGAAGGAGATGGGATTTTGAGTTAGCTCTTTCCTTCAAGGAGAGCAGGATCAGAAGTAGATGTAGTTTGGTTTCTTTCCTATAGAGGGCAGTGCGTCCCTCTTAGCTCCAGAAAAATCTCAAGGTGGTAGGTGGAGTTTCTCAGGGTGGGGTCCTAGGGGTGCTTTGGCGCATAATTCAAGAGCGCTTGTGCATAACTTTAGGACCTACCTAGCAACTGTTTCAGTACATTATTATTATTGTTTTTAATATGGCTGTTCATATCTGAAGTGGGCATAGATTTAGGGTGTTGTTTTTCTTCTGAGCTCACTGGTGAATGTGTTGAGATGAAATTATGTCTTTAAATGCTGCTTTCTGCTCTCTAAAACAACTGCATTGCAAGAGCCTGAGCAGGTGAGAAATAGTGAAGGAAACATTTCACTCACGTCTAATTTTATAAAGTTTAAACCAGCAGTCTGGTGCCTGACAAAAAAAGCAATTTGCATATTCATGCCACGAGCTGTGTCTGGGTGGACTTTTTGAATTTCAAACCTGGAAGAAACCTTAAAATTAGCTGATCCAGTAACTGCTAAACTTTTTATCTTCATGCATCCTTTGAGATTTCCCCCTAGTAGACAACAGGTTTTAATATATTTTAAAGAATTTTACACATAGACACGAGTGTCCCATTTAAATATCTGTCAATGAAAATAAGTGACTGACTCTCGAGTCCATGATTTTAGGTGGAGATAACCGCTGTCAGGGTCCCCAAGTGCAGAATTCCAGCGCAGAGCAGAGCAACCTGGGTTTAATTGGTCTCTGTGTTTTTGTACTTGCTTGGCTGGAAAAGATCATGGAAATCCAGGGCACTGGACTCCAGGCTCAGAGGAGGGAGCAGAAATGTTGAAGACGTAGCCCTGCTCTCCTGGGTGGCAAATACACGGTTTCTGAGCTATCGAAAAGGACTGTTTTGTTGGATGCTTTCTTTCCCCACACCCTCTACCCTCCTCCGAGAGGCACATGTGCAAGCAAAACCAGCATCTCTTGTGTGCCCTGCACCTGCCTGGGGGAGTCCCGTGCAGACCTGGACCAGGCTCAGAGGGGAAGAGCCTGTGAGGGCGGGTGTAGAGACCTTGAGGAGAAAAGCACTCTTTGCATTTACCAGTTTTTCTTTGGAAGATCATCTTAAAGTTGATTTTGCAGAGGAGTAACTATTGCTTAAAAAATCTGGAAAGGAAAAGCAGAGAAGAAAAATGAGACACATGTGAGCAGTCCTGCCCAGCCCTCTCCCAAAGGCAGCAATCCTGCTGGGATTGGGCCTCGCCAGCCCAGGGTCAGAGCTTCTCCAGGAGGTTAGGGCTCAGGACGGAGAGGAGCACCCTCGGGCCGGGTGTGGTCGGGAATCCCTCAGAGGGATCTGTTTCTGTGAAATCCCCCAGCGCGGGTGCTGCACCGCAGATTTTCATGGACCCAGGGCAGAGGGAATTGGCCCCTGGGAGGAAGCAATCAAGGGCTGGTTTGATTTCAAAATTAAAAATTGAACAGCAGCTGGAAATGACTCAGGTCTCAGGGGAAACCATTCCAGGGAACTGCTTTCTCACTTCTGGAATCTTCATTAGTTGATTTACCAGCTACTTGCCGCACAGAGCATGGCAGGCAACACAGCTGAACCCACAGATGCCCGGGGGGTGCACAGGTGGGGAGGGGCCACAGAAAACCCAGTCAGAGCCTGGGAGGCAGACAGGAGGCCGCAGTCTCACTCCCGCCTGTGCAGGCAGCTAGCCTGGAGCCCTAGAGCTCTGGGAGGCTGAGGGAGGAGGATCAGGAGTTTGAGCCCAGCCTTTGAACAGCTTACTGAGAACCTGTCTTAGTCCTAGTACACACACACACACACACACACACACACACACACACACACACACGGTCTCCAATTTAAAGACTAGTTTTCCTCTCCTGTGCTTAACTTTGAACCAGGAAAAACCCCCACATTTCATTTTTCCTCTGGATGTGAGAACTTTTGAACCACTTGGACTCAGTGATCTCACAATGGCACGCTGTGGTCTCAGAGAGGGTGGCAGCACCGAGCTCGCTGGCCAAGAAAGGCAGAGAGGGGATCGGGCAGGGGCCCCTCTGGGTCCAGCGCGTCCTGGCCGAGCGTCCCAGGCAGCAGTGGACAGGGTATGAGCACACCCTCTTCCCTAGTGTTAGAACGGGGCTGTCTGGGCCCAATGGTTATAATTAGCAGGACAAATGGAGACAAGGCTTCGTCTGGCTGCCACATATCTAAGAATGCACAAGGCTTTTT